CCATCTGGAAGTGGTCCAGTGGCTCTGGACCCATGGCGGATCGCCGTTCAACCGGGACGTATGCGCAGCGGCCGCTCGTGGCGGCCACTTGGAGGTGCTGCAGTGGGTGCGGGCCAACAACTGCCCGTGGGACTACATGACCTGCTGCCTCGGGGCGCATGGGGGCCACCTCGAGGTACTGCAGTGGGCGCGGGCCAATGGCGCGCCGTGGGACGAGACCACCTGCAGCGGCGCGGCGCTCTTCGGCCATCTGGAGGTGCTACGGTGGGCGCGGGCCAACGGGGCGCCGTGGGACACGGACACCTGCAACTCGGCGGCCCACAGCGGCCACCTAGAGCTACTGCAGTGGGCCCGAGCCAACGGTGCGCCGTGGAACCGACGCGTGACCTTCTTCGCCAAGCGTGCAGGCCACACCGAGTTACTCCAGTGGGCGCTAGCCAATGGCTGCCCTTCGTGAGTGACGCCAGGCCACGCCCGCTACCAGCTTTTTTAATGTCACGATTTCGACGTCGGCCCCAAATATCTTCGGAGCTGCCCCTTGTACATGAGGGACGGATGGCCGAGCGGTCTAAGGCGACAGTTTAAGGCACTGTTATCTTCGGATGCGTGGGTTCAAATCCCACTCCGTTCACTCCTCTTTTTTTAACCTTTTTCCGTACTTACCCAACTTTTCTTCGTCGTTTTCGTCACGTCCCAATCCGATCCCATCTCAGGACGGCCCAACCTCGGAAGCAACTTGTTATCGGTGGTCCTCACCGTCCTGGGACCTTCCGGCGCAACCGACGTAAGAGAAAGAAGAAAGTTACAAGCAAGTTGCAGTTTGTTGTGTGCATCGCGTACGTTCGTCTTTGTGCCACACCACCCACCAAGCCAGGCAGGAACACATATAGCGGCCACCAGAGGATGCAGAAGCTGCGGGGGTTGGCTGACCCGGAGCGATGGCGTCCGTTCATGACACGCCGCTATTGCACCCTCTACGCGGGCGTGCTCACCCTGCTTGTCAGCGGCACCCTCTACGGCCTCTCGGCCTACACCCCCGCCCTCAAAGGTCCAGCCACCGTTTATTGTTTATTTTTTTATCACTTCCTATATTATCATTTCGAACTATATTGTAAGTAAAACTATTTAATTTATTTTAAAATATTGGTTATCTAAATTGGCCGAACAAGCGAGGCAGAGAAACGCACACACGCCACTCACGGCCACCGATTGGGTGCACAGACCAGCTGCATTTTAGTCAGGGCGAGATCACGCTTATCGCCACGTTCGGCAACATCGGGCTGTACGTCTCTATCTCTGCTGCTCGGACATAAAAATGTGCTCACTCTGTGCACACGCGCCACCGCACACGGGTGCAGATATGTTGGGTTTCTGATGGGCAAGCTCTACGACACGCTGGGCGTCAAGTGGACCTGCGCGGTGGCGGGCACCATGGTCTGCGGCGGCTACTTCTGTGCTTGGGTTCGATGCACACAACACTTGACGCACACGCACACACGCACCACCGCACACACGCACTCGCTCACCGCACGCGCCGGCAACTCACCTGGGCCTGGGCAGATCGTGGTGGCCGGCCACATCGACGCCGGGTACTGGTGGCTCATGGCCATCTTCTACCTCATCATCGGCCAAGGCAACTGGGGTGCGCACCAGCTCCAGTCCCACACCACATCCCAACCCAATTGTTATGTATATACTTTTTAATTCCTCTGTTTTTCCGGGCGAATAGGGTTATATCTGGCCACGTTGACCGTCAACATGCGCAACTTCGACAAGGAGGACCGAGGCAAGGTGCGTGCGTGACTGGAATTCACGAATGAATATTATTTGTTTTTATTTTATTTTTTTGTCCTCCTAATTGCACGCCCCAACGCAGGTAGCCGGTCTGCTGGCGGCGGCGTTCGGCCTGTCGAGCGGCATGTTCACGCTGATCTATGCGGTCTTCTTCTCCGAGACCGACAACGTCGCCGGCTACATTCTGTTCACCGCCATCGTTGTGGCCCTGGCGGTCATCGTCGCCGTGCTCGTCATGCGCCCCGTACGCCCTTCTTCTCAATAATAATAATCATCATCTCATCGTCATTGTGTGCCTGTGTGCGGTGCGTGCGTGTGTGCGTGTGCGTTCTGACCGATGGCGTGCGTAAAGGAGGTGCCAGTGGCACCACCGGCGGCCGATCCGGAGAAGGTCGCGGAGGAAGAGGAGAAGATCTCCATCATCCAATCGCGCGACGAGGAAGTACCCGGCCTCGGCGCCAAGACCGAGCAACCCGGCGTACGCGCAGGTAATAATTTATAACAACAATATTAATAATAACAGAGAATTATCACAATAGTTATAATGTAGTGATCTGGACTCTTACTTGAGCCGCTTTTAGTTGAAGCGGACGGCAGCCTTACCACCCTGCAGACGCTGGCCACCCTCGACTTCTACCTCGTCTTCGTCCCCTTCATCTTCGCCGCCGGGGTACAGCGACTACTCCTTCTCGACTCGCGCGAGTGCATTCCGCTGCTCTCTACTCACCACTTTCGTCGACAGGCGGGCCTTCTGGTGATCAACAACCTGGGCGAGGTCGTGCGGTCGCTCGACGGCGGCAGCCTGGAGAAGAATCTCTACGTGGCCGGGCTCTCGGTGTTGGGCTGCATCGGTCGTTTCACCGTCGGCTCCCTCTCCGATCGCTTGTACACTTCCACCCACTCACCTCTCCTGTGCGTGTGCGGTGTGTGCGGTGTGTGCGGTGGTGCGTGTGTGTCGTGTCATGCCAACTTTGAAAGGTGCTGACGTCGCGTATTCGGTGATAGGGTGAAGAAGGGCGTGACGCGAGCCTATTGGCTGGTGCTGTGCCTCATAATGTTCGCCATCTCGCACCTCGCCTTCTGGATCTTCACCGAACGGTGGATGATCCCCTTCGTCGCCCTCATCACCGGCCTCGCCTACGGAGGTACCCACCCACCCCAGCAGCTCGCTCTCTCTTCCCGTGTTGGCCCTTCCCTCACCGTGTGCCGTGCGTGTCGTGCGTGCCGTGCGTGTCGTGTCGTGCGTGCCGTGCGTGTCGTGTCGTGCTTGCAGGCTTCTTTGCGGTGGTGCCCATTTTGATCAGCCTCTACTTCGGTTTCACGCACTTTGGCAAGAACAACTCTTGCGCCGCTCTCGCGCCCGCCATCGGCTCCTTCGGCTTCAGTGCGTTCCTGTTTTCACCGCACACACCACACCGCACTCAACGAGACACCACACAACACACGCGGACCGCACACATGCACACATACGCACTTGGGAAGCTGACCGCACGCACTGGGCGCCCCAACAGACAACCTGGCGTCGATGTTCTACGACCGCAACAAGGAGGGCGACGCGGAGCACTGCTTCGGAGGCGACTGCTGGTCGACGATCTTCATGGTGACCGGCTTCCTCTGCGTCGTCGGCGCCGGCATCACCTTCTTCCTCGCCTGGCGACGGAAACATTTCCTCCAATAACGTGCGTGCGTGCGGTCCGCGTGTGTTGTGTGTGCGCACGCGTGTGCGGTGTAAAACAAAAAAGAGAAGAGAAAAAATGGATGGATCGATCTACAATTTCCTGTGGAGGGCGAGGATGTAGGTCTCGTTTTCGCCCTGCTGGGCGATCGTCGTCGCCACAAAGTTGCTGGCCTCGATAAGCCGCATCAGCTTGCGCTCGCCCACCCGACTGCGCGATCTGTGTGGCCACGCATGAGTGTGTGCGGTGGTGTGCGTGTGCGATTAGATTTAGGGGAGGTACGAATAGGCGAGGAAGACAACTGCCTCCTTCGTACGGTGCAGCAATCGGTCGAGGGTGAGCATCATGCCCTCCAGGCCATCATCAAAGAAACTGAAAGAAAAGAAGTTGACACTGCTGTCACTGGAAAGCGAAGAAAGAACGAAAGCGAAAGAGCGAAAGAGAAAAAAGCGAAACCGAAGGAGAGATGTACATGATGTCCGATCCCATGATGACGTCGTACTTGTAGGGGAATCGCTGCTCGAAGGCGTCCAGGTCCTGGCCCCACAGGTGCTTGGCGGCATCGAGCACGCCGCGGCCCTCCTCGTTGGTGGAGGCCTGCTTGAGGAGGAGCTCCTCCACATTCTGCTTCAGGATCGTGGTGACCTCGTCGTTGCCCTCCGTCAGGATGCACACCTTGGCTCCCAGCTTGTGCGCCACCAAACCGCACAGCCCTGCGTGTGTCGTGTGTCGTGTGTCGTGTGTCGTGTGTCGTGTGTCGTGTGTCGTGTGTCGTGTGTCGTGTGTCGTGTGCGGTGGTGAGTGTCGTGTGTGTCGTGTGCAAGCAGCAGAGCAAGCGGAGGAGTACCGACGCCTGCGCCCAGCTCGAGCACGTTCTTGCCTTGGACGAGTTCAGGGTGGTCCACCAGGTACTCGCTGAACCCTACACGGGGTCATCATCGTGTGAGGCGTGATAGTGCCCTGAAGCTGGGATGAGCGGACAAGCAGCGGCAAAGGGGGAGAAGAGCGTACATGTGGCGCAAGGCCAGACCACCTGCCCGGTCAAATCGAAGTCGGCTGGTGCCATCGCCGCCACACACAACGCGCACAGCACACCACACACACCGAGCCGTGGGTAAGATGGCTGACACAGGCGCCGGAGGGAGCCACAGGGAACGTACTCGAGGCAGAGGGCAAGACGGTGAGTTCAACTGTAAATCGGCTGTCGGGCTCCGTGCCAAACGTGAACGCTTGTTTTGTGTAGCTGATGGTGAAGGTGTCAATTGCGAATTAAATTAAATTTGACGTTAGCATATGAAGGCAGGGCGCACTTGCGGTTGACAAACATGTCAGGATTGAACATGCAATCTTCATCGTCGCTGCTCTCATAATCTGCCCTCCGCCTGGTAGCCTCATCTCCTTCCATCTTGCGAGATTGCGAACAAAGAAATGGAAATTAAATTCTCAATCTCTGTCGACGCCTTCTTTGGCGCCATTTTCCATTCAACAGAGATGGAGGTGCCACCGAGGGCGGTTGTGCGAAAATGCGTGTCTAGAATTCGGCACCACATGTCCCCTGCCCATCTTATTCCAGTCTTTGGCCTTGCCCGAGAGCTCGAGTACGTTCCTGAAGCGTAGCAATTGTTTTGTTTTGCAACAATCATCATCCATTCCAATCACACTCATCTGCGGTGCCCAGGCTGGTGGGCCGATTCTGTGAGCAGACGGAGGTGAACAAGGAGAGCCATGCCACCCTACTCATGGGGCCACACAACACTGGCAAGTCGCTCGTGCGTCTCTCTACTCCTCCATTGCCAGCTCTACATAAGAAGCTCATCTTCTGTTCAGGTGCTCAACACCGTCCTCCGCGACTTGGAGGCCAGAACGGGCAACAAGCCCGTAGGTACGTTGCGTGGCGTGCGGTCATGCGTGTGCGTGTGTGCGGTCTTGTCGCACACGGTGGCTGTAGCTCCCTCTCATACCGCGTCATGTAGTCATTGTGCTGGATGGATACCTGCACGCCGACGAGGCGGCCGCTCTGGTCGTGATCGGTGACGTGCTCGGCATGCAGGCGGAACTCGCGCAGCAACATCAAAGGCAAACGCAGGCCGAGCAGCAACAGCAACTCCAACAAGAACAAGAACAAGAAGACAAACAAGAAGAACAAGAACATGAGCGACAACAAGGTGAGCCATGACTGACTCGACTCTGACCTACCCCCCCGAAGCTTCATATATGCGGCTGTGGGAGCCAACGCTTACGAATCCCCCGTCCACGCTCCGGCGCAGAGTCGGCGGCGAGGGCCTCTGCGGCTGAGGAGATCAGTGCCATCACCGAGCTGACGTTCCACTCCACTGTGCTGGCCATGCTCAACTGCTGGAAGCAAGTCAACCCCGGCCGGGTACACCTCCTTCGAAGCTTGCGCACGACACGACACGACACGA